AAACAAATGAAAATAGAAATTGAATTATATACAATAGATGTGCATAGAATGTTCATGAATTCATTGACTATATATTCAGCAAATTTCTTATCAAAAGAGGGGAAAAACAATGACCATTTTTTCCAAGAAGAATTCAAAAATTCTTCAATAATTTATCCATTTAAATACAATTTTCAAGAGGATCTTTCAATTTCTCTTCAGTGAACAAACGAACGAAAAAATCATTATCCAAATTATTTTAACAGACAAAAAAGTTTCTTCACAAATGTCTTTTGATGATAGAAGAAAATCGATGATTTATGTTTCTTTTCTCATCAACCAAGTTCACATTTCACCAAAAAAAAGAAAATTATTTAAACTTTAATCTTTTAAATGCATTTTCGCTTTATTATTATTATTATTAACAGAAAATTTCAGTTGACTTTTATAATATTTTAATTCCATCATCATCATCATCAATTATTATCGTTTGTCATCATCATCATTATTTTTATCGACTAAACTTAATGATGATGATGATGATGATGATAAAGATGTCACCATTGATCATTCATTCATTCACATCATCATCATCATCGATTATAAAATGAAAGGAAAATGAACATTACAAATGAGAAATTGTAACAAAAATTATAAGAATATTTCCCGGAAACAGTGTTAACGAATGAAAAATGAAAAAAAAAGAAAAAGAAAAAGAAAAAGATCATCACATGCACACACAAGCATAAACAAAGTTGTGATAGATAACCTAAACAGAAAAAGATATTCAAGATGGATGAATGGATCAAGCGATAAAAATGTATAGAAAGGAAAAAAAACTAATTAAGTTTCTTCTTTTGATATGTGTGTGTGTGTGTTGTGTGTGTGGTAAATGATGATGATGATAATCATTGTCATTGTCAGTGATGAAAGTTCATCAGGAAAATTATTTTATTTCTTTTGGTTGGGTTGTGATTTAATGAAAAAAAAAATCTATAGAATTTTATAATGAAATAATGATGATAATGATGACAATGTATGAATGAACAACCGCATGAACTAAACAAACAGCATCATTCAATAAAGAAAAATGTTTTGAAAAATAGAGATTAAAAGATTTGAAATTTGAAGAATTCTAATGAGAATGATATATGAATTCATTTTTTTGGTTGAAAAATGAGATTTTTGTTTTGTTTTGGTATCATTTTTCCCTGTTGAATTGTTTGTTTGGAAAGATTTTGTTTTTTCCTTCAATAATTTAGTGTTTTCGTTATTTTTCCTCTGTTGTTGTTTAAAACTGGACTTAACAACAACAAAAGTGTTAAATGAAGAGGTTGTTGATGGGTTATTTTCCAAGAAATTTGATACAAAATTTGTTTTCATCATCACCAAAATCAATCAACTGACTCAATTTTTTCAATCAATCCCCCCCCCCAAAAAAAACAACGAAAAACTTTAATTTTTTTTTTATTCAATTTTGAAAATTTTGTTGAAATTTAAAAAAAAGATAAATTTTCTCCCGAAATTTTCCAACTTCCATCCATCCATTCATCCCTCTCGAATTTAGATGACCGTTTCTTTAGGATTTTGTTTGGATTTTGTTTGAATGTCCACGACAAATTGGTCACGATTCTTTTGTTGCTTTGGTGGTGTTGGTGGTGGCGGTGGTGGTTGAAGTTGATGATGAAGCTGATGATTTGTACAGCAACAATCATTCGATATCTGTGATGGATGATGATTATTATGATTATGATTATTATTACCGGGCATTGATCGTATCGAATAAGAACTAAGAATTTGTCCAGGATGTAAAAAGTATAGAAGTTATATTGCATTTGTTGTTGTTTGTCGTGTATATTGTTAAAATACAAACAAAATAATACAGATTAAAAATATTTGAATATTTTTATCCAATGGATTTGATTGTTGCTGTTGTTGTTGAATATTACTACCGAATAAATCATCCGGTTCCAAATCTGTTGCATTCAATTGATGTATAAAACGAATCATATTTTATTTTCGTCGTTTTTGTTTCTGTCGAAAAATAATTTGAAATTTGAATTTCTCTTTTCGTTTCACAAAATTTCTGATGATCTTGATCGATCGATAGCTTAAAAATGACTGAAAACTTTTTGTTGTTGTTGTTGTTGACCAAACCATAAAACACAAACCAAAAAAAAAAAAAAAATTAAACAAAAAACCGGTTTTGTTTTTTCAACCAAACATCCACTGATGATGTTCATTGCGCAATCAATTTTTTTGTTTGTTTGATTCAACCACAAAAAAAAATCAAAAGAAAAACCTTCAAATACAGATGTAAGATTTATGTATCTAGTTTTAGTTCGTTAAGTTATTAAAATCGATTCTGTAATTTTGTGTGTTTTTTTTTCATTATTGGTTTTTCATTTTTATTGAAGGGACAAAAACATTGTTAATATCTATTAAAGGATAATGTGACTTGTGAACGGTTTTCTGGTAATTGTAACTAAAAAATTATAAAACTGTCGTATAGAATCTGTCGTTTACACACACACAAGTTTCTTGTTGTTGTTGTTGTCATTTGTAAAAAAACAAAAATTGAACCATATGGTTTATACATTATATTTTTGTTGTTGTCGTTGTTTCATCACAAACGATTAATATCATCATTTTTATCGATTCAAACGTTCAATGTTCAATAATGTTTCTACCCTTTTTTCACATTTCTCAGCTTACAAACAAGACATACACAGAAACACATTGAATCGATTTTCATATTTCGTTTCCAAAAAAAAAGAAAAAAACTTATTTTCAAAGGAAAATAAAATTGATTCTGTTCGATAAATATATTTCATTTGGTTGCATTGATTGATTTTACCCAAAACACACACACACACGTCAGACAAACACTGTTTTCTTCCATCCCTTATATTTGAAATATTCTTACCAGCACAAAAAATGGAGAAAAAAAAATCTGCGGTATTCATAATCGATACTTTTCTGCTTTCTTTCTCGATGATGATAACAAAAAAATCGTAGAAATGAAATGAATAAAGCGGTTGTTTTTCTCATCCCCCGAAAGAAAAAAGAAACGAAAACGATTGACACATTTATAGTAATCATTCGCAATGATGATGATGATGATGATGGACATGTTTATAAATATTTAATGAAATTTTTTCTTTCTTTCTTTCTTTCTTTCTTTCCAAATTGACAATATTGACAATTTTGTTGTTTGGCCGATTGTTCGGTTTATCCTGTGTTTGTGTGTGTGTGTGCAGTGCGGTGTGTTTTATTGTTTGAATGAAGAATATATCAGGAATGAAAAATCTGGCGAATAAAACGAAGAATTTATTCTTCTTCTTCTGTTGGATATTGTCAATTTTCGTTTTTTTCCTGGTTTGAAATGTAATTGTGTGTGTGCGAAAAGAAAATTTCAATTTTTTTCAATTTTTTCATTCATTCATTTCGATTATGATGTTGATGACAGACAGCCGAATAATAATAATTGTCGTTCAAATTTGAGAAAAGTTTTTTTCAATTTTTCAAATTTGATCCAATAATACAACAACAGAAAAAAAAAATTTAACCCAGAGTTTTCCAGAAATAATTTAAGAAGAAATATAATTTTGAATGGAAAGAATAATGAAAATGATTTTTTCTTTTTTTTCATTAGTTTCATTCATAATTATCATGTGTGTTATCCTTGTTGTAACTGTAAATCATCATCATCATCATCATTATGATTACATTTGGCTGATTGAATTTAGAAAATGAAAATAATAAAAATTGTTACCCGAAAATGATGATGATGATGAAAGATGGAAATAGCCCCATGATGATAATGATAGATCCAGCCAGACTTGACCATCATAAAACACAAATCTTTAATGTTTATTATTATTAATAACCATTGCCACCACCACCACCACCACTATGTTTCTTTGTTTGTCCATTTTGGTTTTCTAATTCTAATTTTTTTTCTCTTTCTCTTTCTCTATTACAGTTTCTAGCCGAGAATTCATACGGAAAGAATTTTCAATGAAATTCTGATCTTCTCGTTTCTATCAAACCAATTTATGACAATCGAATGGAAAAAAAGAAAAAATGGCCAGAAACAAAAAAATGAAATTCAAACATCAACATTAACTTAACGAAACTTCTTNTTTAGGCTGCCGGATCACTCTATTTCAATCCATTGAAATACTGATGACTTGAACGATTTTTGCTTATTGTCGTTCGTTCGTTCGTTCGTTTGTTGTTGTTCATTCACAACAAATCTTAAATGTTTTTTGCTGTTGTTGAAAACAAGAAGCTTTGTTTTACTTTGAAACAAAAAAATTTTAAAAGAAAAAAAATGAAATTCTGTTTTTTGAAAAATCCCTTTTTTCTCTCTCTCTCTCTCTCTCTCTCTCTCTCTCTCTCTCTTCTGATTCACGCGATATAGATCCATCCATTAAGTGTATATATGTTTTGCAATTGTGATGAATTTCTTCGTTTGTAGATGAATGTTTCAATTGCATTTTTGCTTGGATGATTTTTTTTCTTCACATTTACTACCACTGATGATGATGATGATGGGTTTTAAAAAAAAGTACAAGTGAAAAAAAAAACATCATATTTTACCATGATAACTTGAATTGAATGAATGAATGAATGAATGAATGAATGAATCACATGCTGTTTCATTCAATTCTTCAAAGTTTTGTTTGATTGTTTTCTTTTCTCTCGTTTCTTTGTTGATTTGAAGTGTGTCGATGTTATGTTATGTAATGTTGTTTGCTTATTTTCTATATATATCACCAGCAACATTGACATGAATCCATCATCATTATCATCTTTTTCTGCTTTGTTTTCAACAACCAAAACAACAACAAAACATTAGAAAGATTCCATTATTCCACTATGTATGTGTGCATGTTTTTTTTTCTGTTCCTGGATTCCATATGTGACCCTTATAACAAACAAGAAAAAAATGAAATATTGCCGCATCATTTAACGTTGATTATAATGATTTTTTGTCCATGGAAACATTGAAAGAATTTATTTTCGCTTGTTGTTGTTGTTGTTATTGATGTTTTGCTTTGATTAAAATGAATTTTTTTATTTAATAATTTTTTTTCTTCGCTTTTTCTTCTTCATTATCATCATATTAATCAAAATTTTTCATTAGTTTCTTTCGATTATTGATGCAATCTTTGCCTTCGTTTCTTTTTTTTT